AGGATATTGAAGCCGCAGGAGACCTCAGAATCATCGGTTACCATCTTGCTCAAACTTGAGTTTGGCAAATCCACGACACTGCTGAAGGGTCTTATTCTGACAGAACAAATGCGTGGCATAGAAGAAAGGCTTACTTCAGAGAGCGTGCAACGAGCAACGGAGGACGTGAGAAGTAGCCGGAATGTTATGCTGCAGCGCTGGCCATATTAGGATCATGCCTCCTGGTTCTTGCTGCAGTGCTAGTCACTAGTCAAAACCTGCTACCCGCAACCCGAAGCCCCTGCAGACAACCTTACACATGACCAGTCCTGCAAGGATGGAGTTGGTGCTTGAGAAAGATATGCATGCATGCATTCTTCGCGTGGCTTCTTTGAGCTCACCACCTTTTAAGCCTAAAGCCCCTTTCCGATTGAACCCCAATCCCCTGGCTGGCACAGCGATACGCAGCCAGCAAGACCTGTCCGTGGATAGGTGAATCCTATGCATTGCATAGGTCATCATTGAGAAAACTTTGGGGCATGACATCCCATGAGACCCGTCCCCCCCAGCAACAGGGATGTTCCAAAGTAGAAGAACTCGACAAGGACACTCCACTGAACCTGCGGCGGAAAATTCTGCAAGCGACAATTCGCTTGAAAGCAAGAACCGGAGGTTAGATCCTTTGATCCCTTCAAGAGCTTCTGCTCGTCCACGGCCTTCGCGCCACTACATTTGCAGATGCAAGTATCCGGACTACTTCCTCCTGCCTTGTTACGGATTTGTCAGACCCTGTAAGCTCTTCAACAATGTATAGAAATCATCCATGCCGTAGCGTCAAAATACACGGGGCTTTCCCCAAATTAGGGATACCTTTTGGGGGCCCCCTTTTAAAGGAGTATAGCATTTGTGCGTCTATATTGGGATCCCCCTATTTAGAAAACTGCCACATTCTTTTTGTGGCAGGATGTCTCCTTGCGGTCAGATGCAAGATCTCTTACATTAAGGATGTTTCCACTAATGTGGGTTGCGCTCATAGACTATAGGTACCATGGGACCTGGGATTCCCCACAAACGAAACGGGCAAGGAGACTTCTAACGGAGATCCTCAGTTTCTCAGGAACTGTCTACATATTTCTTGATAGAGACCATTCTTGATCTTTTTTGTAACCCACATACATGTGCCTAGGGTCCCCCAAGGTCGCCGTAATTTCGGGAAATCCCCGTTCAAATCCTCATATGCCGTTGCACTTTACTTTGGGCCGGGCCGAGACTCCGCATGAAGCATGACTGCTGCTGCTACTGCTACTGCTACTGCTACTGCCACTGCTACTATTACTAGTAGTAGTCGTAGTACTACTACTACTACTACTACTACTACTACTGGTTCCTTGTCAGATGTCCAGCGGTGTTTTGAGACTTAGGGTTCGTGAAGCTCAAGGACTTGACTGAGTAATTGATGTTGGGTAAGTCTCTAGCGGGCCTGGATGTGCAATGTTAGGATTCGAGTTTTCACCCTCAAGCCTCCTACAGACTTCGCCTCAAGCGGTGTCCCAGCTCTATCTGTGGCCTCAGAGGGATGGGTTTCTTGAATTGAAGAGGGAGTGCTGCAGGAGCTATTGAACTGGAAGTCTGCAGGAAACAAGGTGTCGTGGGAATGGCTGAATGTTTGAGTCTGTTACAGTGGTTTGTGCTCGTAGGGTGCGTGCATGCGAAGTGAGGGCACATGTCCGTAGGGGTTCATGCAAGCGTTCCCTGCTGCCAGTCATGGTCATACTTGTCCCCGTTGTAGCTGTAGCCTTAAGCTCTTAAGGGGAGAATTAGGTACCATCCCCGAGGAACCATGACCATTGCATAAGCACAACCAAAGGCAGTTTGAGGATTGATGTCATGGAAGCAGTTTCCATGGTGCATGTTTGCATAGGGTCATAGTAGCAACCTTTTTTTTACACGGCTTCTGAGCTCTCTGTGAGCTGAGAAGCCCCAAGCCTCAGGTTGTGAGGGACACTGCGTGGCTTAGCGCGTTGCTCCTGAAAGTGTCCGTGCGCTCGCCCTAGCCTTCAGCGGCAACTAGTCTTACCAGCGATGCTATCAACAGTGTATTTGTTGATCTCATTTGCATGCTGGTGCTGGCGTTGTTAACTGCGTTCTGTCGACAGTCGCAGGTATGGTTCCCTATGCTGTCACTACGTCGTCCAACAGATGCAAAGATGACTGCAGCAGCAGCAGCAGCAGCAGCAGCAGCAGCAGCAGCAGCAGCATTTTGTGCAGCACGCATCATGAACTAACTTGCGTTGGCAATTAGGTTGCCAGTTTTCTAGCTTAAACGTCTTAGGAAAGCAGTCTCCAACAGAGAGGAAGCTTATTATGGAGCTCAGGATGTAGGAAACCCAAACTAAACAGCCATCATTGCAGCTTGGTAGAAGTTCACATGAGCAGTCAGCCATTTTCGAATATGGTCACAATATTATAGGTTCGAGGTCCCATATTAGGGATGATTTCTGCTTGAGAAGTGCAGCTTAATTATTATAGCAAGCTGACCCTGACACATTGGGCACTGACATTGGAATGGCCCAAAGCCAGACCCTGGACCCCAAATAGTCGCTGCCATTTTATCCTCCGTTTCTCTATATCGCCCGTGGTATTCTAACCCCCAAATAACCCGAGAACCGTATATAGTAAGTCAAGGAATAGTGACCGCCTAAGCCTTCCCTGGCTTTGGGCTCTCCAAGGCCGAGATTTGACATCCCATGCCTGCAACAGCTTGATACCAGAACCAAGGATCTCTCCCCTAGAAAAAAAAGGGTTAATATACGGGTTATATAGGGAATACAGGGATAATGAACAGAAAATGGCAACTACTATCTTAGAATTACAGAAAGGCTTCCATTCTGTGATGAAGATTCCCCGTAGAGTTGTATATTGACAGAGGTATATCTGTTATTGGCACTTAGGGCTGTGGGGTGGGGCCCTGCAGCGTGCGGAGAGAGGATTGTACATATATCCCATTATATCCCCACCCTATATAGGCCTATATACCCCCCCTAGATCCCTATGTCACCCTATGTAGCCCTTATCCCTATGTCACCCTATGTAGCCCTACATACCCCCCTACATCCCTATATCCCCAGATAGCCCTATATACCCCCCTATATCCCTATATCCCCAGATAGCCCTATATCCCTATGTAGACATGGCAACGCACGGATGCTTCTCGTTGTGTCACTCATGCAGCCGCCGGAGTTAGGCCTCCGGGCCCAGATACCGGCTTAGGGAGGGTCCGGGTTTAGGCTGGGTACTGCCCCGAGCCTACGACCGTCATATGAGCTATAGACTAGACCTCTTAGGGGGGGGGGGTCTATAGGGGAGCATATAGGGTTTTTAAGAGAGATATTAGGAGCTTGGACTACAACTCAGATGCGGGGCCGTTAATTAAGGGTATGGCATGCCTGCAGTCTAATATACAATATGTGCTGGGGGAGTGTGATAGGGTGGAGCCTGTAGCTAAGGATTAGGACTCAATGTGTAAGGTGTTTGAGACCTGCAGTCCATTTGAGGTGCTTGAAGGTTTCAGGGGCAGCTCAAGGTTTGCAAAGGCTGGTGCTGGTGGAAGAGGCTTTCAGGTGTTGTGGAGTGAGATCTTCTGGACTTGCTAGGCCGTTGTCTGAAACAGTGATGATGTAGGTAAAGGATTGAGAGACCTATAGTTCATGGTGTGGATTTTGCTGCGCCACCTACACGTGAGCCACCATGTCCTAGATGTCTTGGAGGAGGGTGAATCACAATGACACGTTGCATATGGCTATCTAGAACTGATGTGCTGCAGCTAATGTGGGCCTTTGGAACTACATATCATCTGGCTTAGACTGGACCTGTGCCTGTGCAGCTGCACGAAGTTAGCGCGGCGGCCTGATATGGTCAGCCAACAGTTTGAAGGACCAGAAGAAAAAAGGACATGGGCAAGGCCCAAGCGACTGACTTCATGGATAAAATTGAAACTATTATAGTAGGATATGTTAGCTGCTTGTGGGACAGCTCACGGGGTCAGTTGCGGGCCTCTTGCATGCTGCAGGTTGATGATGAACTGGAAGTAACACGTGGGCATCTATGGTCAATTTCTAGATGTGCGCTGCGAGGCTTAATCCTTGCATTATGAAACCTTTATATGCCAGGAAACCATTTGTTTGTAGGCGTGCGATGAACATGCTGCTCGTTACCCTGATGTGAGAAGGTCCAAGCAATCACACCCCTGCGGCCTGTACACAAAATGATGCAGCTAGTGGTAGCCAAGCATAGTACAACACATTTTCCATACTCGAATATAGTATAATATAGTACAATATAGTATAATCTAGTGGAATATGGTATAATATACTATAGTATATTACAATATAATATAATATCGTATATGAATAGACCGGCTTTGCTGAAATCTCCGATCTTTAAGGCGGAGGAGCAACACCCCTGAGATGGTTTGGATAAACATAAGAATTCAAACTCCAAGTCCTATACTATACTAGAATCCACTATAATATACTATAATACACTATATTAGACTGTAACATATTATAATATACGATGCTACTATGATATCCTAATCAGGTTCAGGAAGCTGTCTTTTCTCATCCGCTGTCAGCATCTTCAAACTTTCAATACTGCGCCTGGCGCCTGGCAAAGACAATCAGCAAAGCCACGAGCAATTTGACAAGGAATACTTAAGCAGGAAGGTGGAAACAGACGTGGGGCCTTAAGTTTGAAGCCATTGCCAGATCACTTTTGCAATCATGCACAGTGGATTTCAAGTTGGTGCAGCTCTGCGTTGTGGTGCGAGCATTTGCTCAAAAGAAGTTACGATGGAAAACACCGTCAACAGATGTCCCCGTAATGTGGGAAGAGACAGGTGTTCCATTGGCATGTGGCTCAAGATTGTTAAAAGCCTGCAGTTCAGTAATATCCTCTAGTACTGATATGTGACCAGGCTCAAACTGAAAGATACTCTCACACGCCCCAACACACTGTACGCCATGCCATGGTTCTTCAAAGTGTCTGCGGGGTGGGCACCGTATTCCAACCAGCAGTCTGAGCAGTTGGAGATTGGTTTCCAGCGCTTTCAAGCAGGACACAAGGAACATGTGGTACTGGACCAGTGGCGGATTGACCTGGAGAAAATGAAGCTTGACATGGAGGCTAGCCCTTCAATCTCTATCCGGACTTAGTTCGGTCTACAATATGTGGTGTGGTGCTTTGGTGTTGTGGTTGTGGTGCTCTATACACCTCACTTGTTCTGTTGTGCTACATCTTCAATAATCAGCAGATGATAAGTCCCACATCACGCATTTTTGTAGAACTGCGTCTGTGCATTGATCCTTTCAGCATGAGCTAGGCCACACTGACATGGTCATCCCATGACAGATGGGGGTCTCCAAAAAATGAAGGGACTTTACTGGGAGCCCCAAACCGGGAACCCCAAGAAT